ATGTGAAGAAGTCAATCCCAAAAAGTTACGGTTACATGTTGCACGATTCCTATTATATCCCCTTTTTTTTTTTTTTTTTTTTGTCACCCAGGCTGGAGTGCAGTGGAGCTATCTTGCCTCACTGCAACTTCCACCTCCCGGGTTCCAGAGATTCTCCTGCCATAGCCTCCCAAGTAGCTGGGATTACAGGCACGCGCCACCTCGCCCAGCGAATTTTTGTATTTTTAGTAGAGACCGGGTTTCACCATGTTGGCCAGGATGGTCTCCATCTCTTGACCTCGCGATCCGCCCGCCTCAGCCTCCCAAAGTGCTGGGAGTACAGGCATGAGCCACCACGCCCCACCCACAGCATTCTTGAAATAACAAAATAATAGAAATTGAGAACAGATTAGTGGTTGTCAGGGTTTATGGAAGAAGCAAAAGTGAGAGAGAAGTAAGTGTGGCTACAAAGAACATTATGGACGGAAATGTGATGGAAATATTCTGTATATTGAATGTAACAATATCAATATCCTGGTTGTCATCATTGGAGGAAACCCAGTAGTTTATATCCCGCATCTCTCTGTATTCTTTCTTATACCTACATGTGAATCTACAATTATTTTAAAGTAAAATATGTGATTCAAAAGTAAAAAAAACAGGTAATGAGTTGAAATTGCATGCCTTGACCATTAACACTAAATTATAAGGCCTATTTGATAAAATATGATTCAATTAGTAAATAAAGCACAGGTAAACTTCAGCAGACTTTTGGCAAAATGTGAAATTTGAACTTTACACATTTCATTTGACCAGAGAAATATTTTGCAAAAGAAGACTGCATTCGTTTACTAGGGCTGCCATAACAAAATACCACAAACCGGGTGGCTGAACAATAGAAATTAACTTTTTCGTACTTCTGCAGGTTAGAAGTCCAAGAACAAGATGTTAGAATATTTTATTTGTACCGAGGCCTCTCACTTTGGTTTGCAGATGGTGTGCTCACGTGGCCCTCTCTTCATCTCTGTGTTGTCTGCCCTAATCTCTTCTCCTTATAAAAACACCAGTCATATTAGATTAGGGCACACCCATATGATATAATTTTACCTTAATTACCGGTTTAACAGCCCTGTCTCCAAATACAGACATATCCTGAATTATTACAGGTGAGGGCTACAACATCTGAATTTTTAGGGGGACATAATTCAGCTCATAACAGAGACCAACACGTAGAAATTAAGGAATTCCAAATAAAAATGTAGGTATCTAGGTTATTTTTACAGTCTGCAATTAGTTCTAGCAACAATTAGTAGTACCTGAGAAATAAATCCCTGCTTCAAAAGCACATGCACACATGCACTCAAACATCTGTAAAATTCATGCTTCACACACACACACGTACACACACATATACAGTGTTGTCTTCACACCTTTATTAAATTCCTGGCCTTTGGGTCATTGAGCTTGTGATGTCTAGAATAAGGAATCATATAGTTTTCTGATGGAGTAGGGAGGGAAAAGTCAAGAGAAATACTGAAAGGAGGTGCGTGAGAGCTCCTGCTTTATAACAAACAGCCTGCTTTATAATTTTGTGAGCAATACTCTTGTTAGGAAGCAGAAACTGACTGGTCTGCATTTACAGAGAGCAAACTATTTCTCCCTCAAAAGACTTTAAAAACGTTGCATCAAAACTGAATTAGTTTGTTATTTCAATCTTTCTTTTTTCTTTGTTTGATCAGGAGTTGACTTCTTTTTACCAAGTTCTGTTCTTTCAATTTAGCAAGTCTACTTATGGCATATAGGGCAGTGAACTGGTTTATTGAGAGCATTTCTATTAACATAAATAAATGGTAATTCTTAGTTCAAAACATTAAACCAGGTTTGCAACCATGTCATTGTAGTTTGTGCATAAAAACATTTTGCTGGGTGAGGACAGCCAATTCTTTATTAGCATGAAAGTTACAAAAGAAAAAAAAATAGATAAGTGACAGATATTTCCTTAAATGCAAAGCAAAAGTACAAATTCTACACAGAACAAAATGAAGAAGTGATATGAGATGTGAAGAAGCAAACAACACTTTTATTTTACCCTGGCGTATAGAGGGAGCTTGTTGACAAAGGCCTGGGGTTGTATTTGCATCCCTGCAGTACACTGTTTAGTCGTGAAGATTTACTTAGTGGAAAGTCACTGGCTGAGAGCAGTGGTTCACGCATGTGATCCCAGCACTTTGGGAGGCCCAGACGGGCGGAACACGAGGTCAGGAGATCGAGACCATCCTGGCTAACACGGTGAAACCGCTGAGGCAGGAGAATGGCATGAACCTGGGGGGCAGAGCTTGCAGTGAACCGAGATCACGCCATTGCACTCCAGCCCAGGAGACAGAGCAAGACATCTCAAAAAAAAAAAAAAAAAAAAGTCACTAATCAGCTTATTAAAAGTCAAATAATACCTGGAAAAAAATTCATGTATGCCATTGCAATTACATAAGGCCGTTTTATTTTATAAAGTACAAAATTTATAAAGCAAATAATGAATCGATATAAAAATAAAAGTTTATATTTGCACTGTGTTTTTATTTCTGTTATACCCGTTGATTTTATTCTAATAAATTTATGAGGAAAATTTAAACAAAAATGTGTTTCCCAAGTATATTTATATTTGCCTCTACCAAGTGGGCTCTGTGTTTCCCAGTAGGAATGCTGACTTAGCAAAATCAGTGTTCAGGACACTGGTTGTCCAATATAGGGAGACAAAATGGCCAATTTAATTCACTGTAGTTTGTCTTTCTCTCACAGACAGACACACACACACATACACACATACATACATACACACACACACACACACACACACAGAAATGATAAGGTTCAATGAAAAATTAATTTTAATTTAGATTTTTTAAATTAAATGATCTTGTCCATATAGGGCATTGGTAAATAAAGTCTAGAGAAATCACAAATGCAAGTTGAACTAGAATTTTGTTTAGAGATTTCTAGGGTAATAAATAGATGAAGTAAATCTTTTCTTGTATCTATGGCCCCTAAAAGAAATAACTTGTCACTAAGTTGTCTTTGAGACAAAACAAATTTGTGAGCTATAGTTTTCAGAAAACTGTAAAGTGATGTACTTTAAAATAAAAATTTTAACACCTTTTTCCTCCGTACTCTACAGATATATTGGAAGTCATGAAATTAAAATGTAGCGTTAGGATAATATTTGCCTTTTTGGTAAATATAATGCATATTTTTTTTTTCTTTTGAGACAGAGTCTTTCTCAGTCCCCCAGGCTGGAGTGCAGTGGCGTGATCTTGGCTCACTGCAAGCTCTGCCTCCTGGGTTCACGCCATTCTCCTGCCTCAGCCTCCTGAGTAGCTGGTACTACAGGCCCACCATACCCAACTAATTATTTTGTGTGTATTTTTAGTAGAGACGGGGTTTCACTACGTTAGCCAGGATGGTCTCGATCTCCTGACTTTGTGACCCCACCCGAAGTGCTGGGATTACCCACGTGAGCCACCGCACCAGGCCAATATAATTCATGATCTTAAATTCAAGTGTTAAATATTGAGTGTTTCCTTGGCTTTAGGATTAAACAATAGGTGATGCCAAAATATGAGAAAAGCATCTTCCAAGGTGCAATTGCATAGCTGTTACATATCTGCATACATAGAAAAGAGAAAGATAGGGGTGAGAGAGTTAAACAAAAAAGTAGTAGTCACATATATATATATCTGTATATATGACATAGATCTGCATATTTGACTACTACTTTTCGTTTATTTTAATTTAAATACATGTTTATGTATATATGTGTGTGTATATATGTATCTCTCTGTGTGTGTCTATATATTTGTTCTGGAAAATCACAGGTTCAATCAGTTTAACCAGGTTTACTTTTCACAGGATGTTTTAGAGTCTTTAAAAGCCATACTGCATTGAAAATCTCCAGGAAATGATATCTGTGAAGACCTCCAGAGTGTTGTTTTTCATAGAAACTTTTTTTTTAATTTCTAATTTTATTTTAAGTTCAGGGGCACATGTGCAGGATGTGCAGGTTTGTTACGTAGGTAAAGGTATGCCATGGTGGTTTGTTGCACAGATCATCCTGTTACCCAGGTATTAATCTTAGCATCCAGTAGCTACTCTTTCTGATCCTCTCCTTCCTCCCACCACCCACTCTCCAACAAGCTCCAGTGTGTGTTGTTCCCTCCCCTGAGTCCGTGTGTTTGCATCATTTATTTCCCACTTGCAAGTGAGAACATGCAATATTTGGTTTTCTGTTCCTGCATTAATTTGCTAAGGATAATGGCCTCTGCCTCCATCCGTGTTCCTGCAAACTCCTCTCTAACTCATTCTGTGAGGCCAGCATCATCTTAACACCAAAACCTGGCAGAGATGCCACAGAAATAGAAAACCTTAAAGTCAACGTCCTGAATGAAATAGATACAAAAATCCTCAACAAAATACTGGCAAACTGAATCCAGCAGCACATCAAAAACCTTATGCACCACCATCAAATAGTCTTCATCCCCAGGATGCAAGGCTGATTCAACATATACAAATCAATCATTGTGATTCATTACATAAACAGAACTAAAGACACAAATTGCATTATTATCTCAATAGACACAGAAACGTTTAAGATGTCAATCTTCCAGAGTCAGTGACTGTCTCTATTACTTGGGATTTGATGTTAATTTGTTTCTATTCTTACTAATTTGGAAAACACAATTTCAAGTTCTTACAAAACAAAACAATTTTGTTTGTACTATGATGACATGCAAGAAACAAAAATTTATAACTTTCAAAAACCCATTTAAATGTTTTCATTTGCCAGAGTTTACTTCTTTGGAAACTTCATCCTTCAAGACAAATGAGAACCAGAGAATAAAGAATAAAGGTCTCCAAGTAGTCAAATAAAATAACTAAAAGCGACGTTTACAAAAAAAGTAATGCTTATACATAATTCTTAGGTGGGCCATTTAGACAAGTAAAAGTAACATCATATTATAATCTCTTACCTCACAGACATGTAAAAATTATCAGTTGTCTGGAAACGGAGGAATAAGAGAACTGTCTCAAGAAGATAGGTAGGTCCACTGACAACATTGTGAGGTGCCCTAAAGATAAAAAGAAGTAATACAATGCTGTCCAAGAAAACATTAAAAATCAAAGTATAATATCTTGAACTAGTTAGGAGATAAATTACCCTCAGTGTTATCAAAGAACAATAATCAATATTGTAGATATATTTATGATAAAAACTACATTGTCAAGTAAAGGTTGAAATTTATTTAAAACACTTTATAAACAGGGGACAAGGTAGACAAGCATGAACTCTACATGGAAATCCAGACTCTAATTCACCTTAAACTTCTTCTAGATTTGACCATTGGCCATTAATGATCTCTTAAAGCATCAACCTCCTCATCTGTGAAGCATCTATGATAAAATATCACCAACATTATTGAGTCCTGGAGAAGATTAATCATTCCTTGACTATTATGCCTTCTATTTGTTACAACTATTACCAGGGAAAAGTACACGGAAGTTTCATTAACAGATTTATAACATATTGTTAGTAAGAACAAAATTCCCAAACTTTCTTTGTTTGAAAAACAACTCATTGTTTAATTTACACTGTGTGAATCACACGAGAACTCAAAATGGTTTTTTTATTCTATTTTCTCACTCAACAACCAATAACACACATAGGGGACTTTTGTGACCAAATATGTGTTGTTGTTGTTCTTCCACACACCAAGCAAACAATCAATTCTGCAGTGGACAGAAGCTGAGTCTCCTGCAATTCAATTCTGGCACTATCTACCTAAAGGTAGCATCAGATCTCACCAGTTGAAGGCTCAGTCTCCATGACCACCTCCTGCTCCACTTCAGGTATCAGTCATAAGTCTGGGCATCAGGAATATCTGGCCAACCAACTTCAAGTTGGGGTTGCCACAATACTCTCTTTGGGTTTGATTAAGTTGTTCAGCGACTCTCAGAACTCAGGGAAACATGTACTTACATTTACCAGTTAATTATAAAGGATATTACAAAGAATACACATGAAGAGATACACAGGGTGAGGTACAGGGGAAGGGGTGCGAAGCTTTCATGCCTCCCTGGCCTCACAGCTCCTCAGGAATCTCCCCATGTTCAGCTATGTGGAAGCTCTCTGAACCCTGGTTTGGAGGTTTTTAGGGAGGCTTCATTATGTAGGCATGATTGATTAACCTACTGACTATCAGTGATGAACTTAACCTTCAGCTCCTCTCCCCTCAGTCTCAATCCTTCCATCAAACCTTGGCCTTCCCCATCCTGAAGCTGCCTAGGAGCTGCCAACCATCAGTCACTTACTGGCATGCAAAAAGACATCACTGGAGATTCCAAGGATTCTGGGAGTTCTATGCCAGAAAACAGGGATGAAGACTAAATATATATTGCACAATATCACACTGGGTAAACCGCTCTTATTCAATATCATACTGGGTAAACTGCTCTTACTCAGTATCACACTGGGTAAACTGCTCTTATTTTTTTGGTGAAGTGGTTTTTGTTATAAATTTCCTGAAAAAAATTTATCCTCCCTGCCTTTAATCACTACAAAGGAAGATAGGACTCTGTTTTAAAAAATTACTGAATATTTTAACAACTTTAACATCCTTTTTTTTTTTTTAAACATAAGCCAACCTGACCACCTTGTTACTCAAGATTGAACACAATGAGGCTGTTGGGAGTTTATGTTGTGCCCTCCAGACTGTCCTTGGAATTGGCTCTCTTTTCCTTCTTGCACAGTTGGGGTAAATGCAAAGCCTTTTATTCTGTGATTTATAAAGACTTTGGAAGACTCTTGAGCAATTATCTTTTTCTGAATTGGGATAAAAGTCATTCTCTCAAGTGTCATCTCTCTTAGAGCATTTCATTTTTTTTTTTTAACTTTGTGTAACACTTCCAAAATTGATGTCATAAAAGAGACAACAGTTTGCTTCAGGATTCCTCAAATCTTAAAAGAAATATTAAACTTAGACTTTCAATCTGATAGTTATCTTGACAAAAAAAAAAAAAAAAAAGAGTATATTTTGGATCGAGTTTGACGACCTCCATTTAATGAAATGCCAGCATAGGATATCAATGCCCGGTTTGAAGCTTAAATTATTTCCCTAAAGAGATAACATTTTAGCATTTAATGTGCTAGTAATTGCCAGGATGTCCAGTGTCTTAAATTGACATAATATAATGCTAAAATTACAATAGTCTTACACTTATGTAGTTAGATTGAATTCTTTTGACAGATTTAAAGGTAGAACTTCTCTAATACAGTGATAACTAAAGGTTATTTTTTTTTCTAGACCACAGATTTGTCATTTTAGTTTTTAAATATCTTGATATATTGATTTGACAAAGAAAAACAATAGACTGTGGCAGAGTAACAACTACTTTAAATAACAGAATACTTCTTAAAATTGTAAATGATGCATTTTGGGCAAGTAAAGGGTAAGTTATGTCATGGAGTCTCATAAAAATGTGAATTTCTCAGTTACTCTATTGCCAAGGCAAGTGGTGGCAAAATTTGAACCTACTATTAATAGAAAAGTTCAATTCAACAGTATTTTGATGGTTATTACCATAATAAATCATAGCGGTATTATTGCAATCTTCCCTTACATAAAATAACCTAAAATATTTCATTAGTAGTAAGTATATTTTTCTGTTACTACAAAGTTGAGATCCCCAGATGCCTCCAGGTATAAAGAGGTATCCATTTTACTTCAGAAAGTGCTCTGTTCTATTTTATTTAAGGTAATTAATCTCAACACCAAATAATAATATTTTTAATGGAAGTTTAATCATCTTATTCTCATTTATCCATGATCCAAAACAGTTTAACACACAGTTGGCCATTATTAAAAACAACAACAACAACAAAAACCACTAACAACACTTTGTCTTAAATTTAATTCTGAAAGTACCTTTTGGTGTTATGAAATATGCTTGTATTTGAATTCAATTTCTATTTTGAGCAAAGTGTGTTTGTTACAACTTTATATTATTTTAAAACATTATAGTAAAACATTTTTGAGACAATTTTTTTTGAAAATTAAATAATAAAAAATAAAAAATTAAAAATTAAAATACTGTCTATTGTCATTGTAAATGCAAGATAGCTTTTATTTTTTCAGTTATGTTCTCCAAGGGTTAGACTTTCTCTCATCAAAATCTCCAAATAAATAACAAACAGCAGTTAATGACTTTTCCTAACCTATTTTAACTTTTCATATTCCTACCATCTGCTTTTTATTAATAATACATAATTATAATTTATGATTTCTTTAGTTATAGTATTAATTTCTCTGCATTTTAATGAAGAAAAATCTTAAAAGCAATCTCTTGCTTTATACTAGCAAAACATCAGTATATCTCAGTATCATCCTTGGAAATTTTAGACATGTACATGAGTTTTTTTTTGTTTTTGTTTTTTGTTTTTTGTTTTTGCAAAAAGACAAGTATGTCTTCTCCCTGATGTTAGTATTGCCTTTCACTTTATAGGAACATAATATTTTAGTCATTAGAACATTTAGAGATAAGTGTATTAATCGAAAAGGTAGATAAGATGATGGTATGAGAGTCCTGTCCTCTGCCCTAATGAAGTAAACTTCCAGTTATAGTGAGTGCCCAGCAATGCAGGAGGGTGATTATCACCCCAAAACAGACAGTCTATAGGGTCTTTCTAGCTTCCCATTACCCTATGGAGTTGGCTGAGGCATTTGTTGTGACTGCATTGCAGCCAATTCCTCCTCCTCCCAATGTTGCTTCCTTTCCTTTCTTTACTGTTATAAATCCTGAAAGTACTTTCTAATGAGTTTCCTGTATGCAGATTTCTATTTCCTTGTTGTTGTTGTTTTTGAGATGGCGTCTTGCTTTGTTGCCTAGGCTGGACTGCAGTGGCGTGATCTCAGCTCATTGCCACTTCCACCTCCCAGGTTCAAGAGATTTTCCTGCCTCAGCCACCCAAGTAGCTGGGATTACAGGCACCCGCCACCATGCCGGGCTAATTTTCATGTTTTTAGTAGATACTAGGCTTCACCATGTTGGGCAGGCTGGTCTCAAACTCCTGACCTTAAGAGATCTACCTCCCTTGGCCTCCCAAAGTGCTGGAATTACAGGTGTGAGCCACTGCACTGGGCCCAGATTTCTATATCTGAGTTTACTTTCTGAATAAATCAGCCTCTCTGAGTTTTTACCAGGAGGAGTCAATAAAAGTAGATGCTAAGATGGAATTTTGAAGCTGAGCTGTATCACCTCTTGGCTAGCTGACAATAAAGAACTTCTTGTGAGCAGTAGGTAGACTATGAATAAACCCTAGCCCAATTTAACAGCATAACTTAAAAGTTCATCTGGGTTTAACTTAGTGGTGTACCAATAGAAAAAACAAATGCAACTAGCAGGTGAAAGGTAGCAAGCTTTTAAGAAATATGAGAAAAATGGTAACTATAAAGGGAATGAAATTGTCTGGCTGCAGGGGCAAGTGACACTGTGGAGAAATGTAATGAAAGACTAGAGGTGATAAGTCATCAATTAAAAGCTAAATGTGAGCAAATAGTGCTTCTTTACAGTATATAAAAAGCTTCTCAGCAGTAGATGGGCAAAGAAAGCTGAATATCATGTCCAGAATTTTTATCATAAAAGTAGCAGAACTCCGGAGAAAGATAAATTCTCAACTTAGGTAGGACTGCTATGCTGACATCAGGGCCCTGTTTAGGAAAGAATGGGACAGTTGCCTATGGGTTGGGTTGATGAACTTGAGAACCTTGAGTCCTCAGATTAATCTAACCTGAGCCTGAAAAAGTGGCTATTCTTCCTTGTTAAGGGCTAGTGCCCTTCCTTTGTTTTTAGGTGATGCAGACATCTCTTGCCTTCCAGTGAGCATGAACTCCCCATAGATTTGCCCCTGCCTTCCTTCCTGACCATCAGACCAATATTTAAGAACTATAATTGGAAGGAACTGTAAGAACTAGAAACATATATAATGTGAGTGTGTATTGAACATGCTGAATTAAAGGAGGACGATACATAACACTGATTAAGAAAGACTTTTTTGAGATGAGAGCACTGTCTT